ATGAGAGTGCTAATGTAGAAAAAATTATGGAGAGTACTACTGGGGTTATTCTAGACCCCCGGTACTATGTTCTCCCTTCAAGTTTCTCCTTGAAAACTCTCATGATTGTTTTTGGGAAAGGACAGTTGTATCTTGTTCTGTGGTCTTTTCTGGAAAATATCATAAAACAGCACCCGATTACCTCTTGCTCGTGTTTTTAGCAACTGCCCGTAATAATCAGCGGCAACGAGTCCCAACAAAAGAAGTACTTGGGCAGATTACTTGAGGAACCTTTAACGACGGTAGGTACGTGAGGTGTAGTTCGAAAATTGCGACTCCCAAATCCCATTCTCAGGCCTACGCCGTCACGGAACCGGGCGCCGGCTCGGACGTAAGCGGAGTAAAGACGAGCGCCGTTAAGAAAGGGGACGAGTGGATTCTCAACGGACAAAAGCAGTGGATAACCAACGGCGGCGTCGCGAATTGGTATTACGTGCTGGCGCGTACCGACCCGGACCCGAAGGCGCCGACGGGTAAGGCGTTTACCGGGTTTATCGTCGAACGAGATTGGCCCGGTGTTACACCGGGGAAGAAGGTACCAACATTCAACTGTGGGAATTTTTTGTAATTTTTTTTGTGTAGGAGATCAATATGGGACAGAGGGCGTCGAATACTGCGTCCATCACCTTTGAAGACGTTCGCGTACCAAAGGAGAACGTGCTGATGGGCGAAGGTGCCGGATTTAAAGTCAGCATGATGTTCTTTGACAAATCACGCCCTCACGTGAGTATACTACGGCCGTGCTAACATTTCATCGAGTTCCCACCAGGTGGCGGCGGCCGCAGTCGGACTGGCCCAAAGATGCCTCGACGAAGCCTCCAAGTACGCGACCGAGCGCAAGACATTCGGCGTACCAATCGCGGGCCATCAAGCGGTGGCGTTCATGCTGGCCGATATGGCCATTGGTATCGAGCCGGCACGCTTGGCGTGGATGAAGTCGGCCTGGTTAGCCGATAACGGCATTAACAACACCTACATGGCGTCGATCGCGAAGTGTTTGGCCGGCGACGTCGCGAACAAGTGCGCGAGCGACGCCGTACAGATTTTCGGCGGGAACGGATTTAATTCCGAGTATCCCGTCGAGAAGTTAATGAGGGACGCGAAAATCTTTCAAATTTATGAAGGCACAGCTCAAATTCAACGGATTGTTGTGTCGCGACACATCATTAAGGAGGCTATGTCGAATAAATGATTGAGTTTTTATACATTTTTTTCAATTGTAACACCTTGCTTTTTGTACTTAACCTCAATTCGAAGTCGGGACAGTGCACTTTGAAAAAGAGGGGCCAAACACTTAGAGTAGGGTCCCTGAAAATGGTGAATTTTTTACTTATTTTGAATGTGCGGAACGGCGAGTTATTTTTCTAGAACAAAATTTGCCCCAGAAAGTGTCCATGTGGGACCCCCATCCAGGGTTGCAATAAATTTTTGTATTGTAGTGTGATGCTATTGAAAGAAAATTCAATGACCCTCTCCCTAAAATCATCATGAGACCATCCTCATATCAATAAACTCTTCGTGGCACTGGGGGGTATTCCATAACCCCCCCCCCTGTGCTACGCTCTCCTTACAAACGTTTAGGAGAAGGGTATAGGCATATGATTTTTGAAGCACCAGTGGGTCTATGGCGGGTATGAGATCCTCCCCCCCCCCCCCAGCAAAGCGAAATTCATGATCCTAGGCAGAAAGAAACTGTCATTGTAAATTTCCAGGAAAATGTAATCGTATTCCTTTTACGTTGGGGGGGGGGGTAGTGTTGGGAGGTATTGCATACCCCCCAGCGCTATGTTCCCCACCAGACATGTAAGAAAATGAGTATATGCGGATGATTTTTGTAGGGAGGGTACTAATGTGGGCTCTGAGAGGTACCTATCTCATACCCCCCAGCAATGAAAACTGCATGACCCTATCTATGTAAGTACAAAGAAACTGTGGTTGTAGTTTTCCAGGAAAAGATAGATAATCGATTTCTTATGCGTCAGGGGCATTGCACACTTCCCAGACCTTCCCCTGGATGCTTAGGATTATTGCAGGGAGTGTAGCAGGAGTGTTACATCCTCCTGGATAGTTTTTTCAAAAACAGCCTTTAAGAGCTTTCACGAAATTTTTAAAGGAATCTTTGGGCTCTAAATCGTAACGTAGTCTTAAAATTAGAACCTCCATGGACCTTCAGAGATTCTTTTAGTGTTCCTATGCACTTTCAAATGGATTCTCCACCCTTCTTCTTCATGTTCTTAAAGTAGCTAAGTCCCAATCCAACAACCTGTCAGCTTATACATTCAGACTAACCACCCTAAACTGGCCCCCTTTCCAAAGATCTGTCCTTAGCCAGCTCACTGTTGATTAGTCGCCTCTTACGACATGCAGTGTCTCTGCAGTAGGGTTATTCTTTGCCGACTCTACACGGGTAGCATGGATGTATATACAGAAAATGGCGCAAGTGACCGACAACTCGTTTGCCTACTAAAAGAAAGCTAGCATTTTGGGAGCAGAACTTGCAGTCGACAGGAGAATTCTGGGAAAGAGAAAATTTGTGTCTAATACACCATGGTTACTGGTTGCGTTTTTGGAGAGGATCTGTGCAGTAAGGCGGAGGTGTATCAGGAGCACAGGAAATTTGCGGTAGGTGTGACAAAGCAATTTGCAATATGCAGTTATCTATTCAACAAATAGTATTAGGAGAGCAGAACGGCCAGAGGTGGGTGAGGGAGAACTCGGGGTGCCTACTGGTGGCTTTAAAATATCCCAAACAACATACTTGCCTACCAAAAACCGTTATTTAAAGGAAAAGAATCGTGAGATGATTCGTGAGTGAGAATCAGGAGCACAAAACAATTTGTTTCTACAACCGCCAACCTTAGATACTTGTATAAATGCTACAAGATAACCGGCAACGTATTTCTCTGTTAAGTAAATGAGATTAGGGGAACAGAATAGCAAGGTCGTGTATAAAGAAGGACACTGAAGTGCTCCATGGCTTACTGATAGCTTTTTGGTAATTTTAAAAGTATCCCAAATAACCCACTAGGCACTAATCGCTACTAAAATATCAGATCAGTGAGTAGGTGCGTGAGAGAAGATCAGGAACTCAGAAAAATTAGCTTGTGCTACTGTAAGACCGTTATTAAAGGAGAAGAATTGTGAGGAGGTACTTGAGACCTCCTCATATAAATAAACTCTTCGTTACACTGGGGGTATTGCATAACCCCCAGACTCCCCTGTGCTACGTGCAATGAAAACTGTAATGAGAATGGTGAGGCAGACGATTTTGGGGAAGAATTTAACATCAGAGGGGGGGGGGGCAAGCGTATCTCTAGTAAAGGACCATTGAATTATACCCTCTTCCTACAACCATCACGAGACCATCAGTATACTTAGTATACAATAAACTCTTCGTGACGCTGGAGGGTGGATTCCATAACACCCACCCCCAGGTGCTACGTACGCGCATTGGCGTCTTAACGAAAACTGTAATGAGAGTGGGTGAGGGGCAGGGGGTGTTGGGGGAGAATACTGGAATCTCCAGTAAAGAAAAATTCAAATGACCCTACAATTTCATAAACTATTCCAATGCTGGGGGAGGGGGGATGTTGTGGGTGCTTAACGTCCTGAGATCATTGGTAATATTTAACAATAAGGGCCTATCAAATTCTCCTTTCTTCACGAATATCCAACACCCCACGTGTTTATGCATTTTTAAGTCAAAACAGACCACCGGCGATTGGGGGGGAGGGTCATTTTTTTGAAATCTCGATTAGGAAAACTTTGCTTGGTTCCGAATGAACAAATGCCTTACAGACATTGTAGCCCCGGAACCCTCTTGGATCTCCTTGAATTCACTTGTATTGCCTTCGACTTCCAATAAGGCAAAGTGTTGAAGAATGGGGACTACTCTTTTTTGACCACCATTTCACCAAGCAGACGTACATGGTATATCACTTTTGTTGTCAACGGACAACTGGTTTAGAAAGTCCCCAGCTTCGCCCTAGTACCTACCGGAACGAATCGCGCTACAACAGTTAGCAGGCAACAAGGTCAACCTCAACGTCCTCCAGCTGGTCTACGCACCAACAGCAGACGAAGACGATCAACCGCGCAAGCGCAACAAAAAGAATCGGCCTCCATCAGGCAAGACCTGCGGACCTGAGCAGATTTACGTGGAATTGTTGATGCAACAACAACATCCAGTAACTAACGAAATGGGGGTGGGGGGGAGTCTGGGGGGTATTTAATATTAAGAGTATTTATATGAGTATACAAATGGTCTCATGGTGATAATGATGACTGTGAAAGCGTAATTTCGTTTTCCTTTATTAGGGGTATGGGGGGGGGGGGTATTCCCGGCCGCCAGATCACGCAGTGTTGCATTCTCCCCCAAAAACCGTCTACCCCACCACTCTCATTTCAATCTTCGATAAGACGCCATCGACCGAAATGACGACCGTATGGAAAGCGCCATTGTATTATATTTTCCTTTATTGGGGGTATAGCTGGAGGGGTATTCCAGGCCCCAGTGTTGCATCCACCCTCCTCCCCACACACGAAGAGTTTATTTATGAGAACACAAATGTGGTCTCAGGGTGATAATGATGACTGCGTTATTGAGTTTTTCTTTATCATTAGGAGTATGGCTGGGGGGTTTTCCATACCTCCCAAAGCCCGCGGTGTTGCATTCTCCCTTTAAAACCATCTACCTCCCATCTCTCATTGCAGTTCTCAACAGGACGCCATCGAACGTAGCACAGAGGGGTTTTAAATAAATAAATAAATAAAAACCTATTTTCCTCACACTCATTACAGTTTTCTGTAAGACGCCCTCGAACGTAGGGCGTAGGAGTATGGCTGGGGGGTATTCCAGACCCCCCAGCATACGAAGAGTTTCTTTATGAGTATACAAATAGTCTCATTGAATTTTCCTTTACTGGGGTATGGCTGAGGGGGTATTCCAGACCCCACGGTGTTGCATTCTCACCCAAAACCCGTACCCGTCTACCTCACCACTCATTACAGTTTTCTGTAAGACGCCATCGAAGGTAGCGCCTGGGGTCTGGGGGTATTCCGTACCCCTACCCCCCACCATGCGAAGAGTTTATTTATGAGTATACAAATGGTCTCATGGCGTCATTGAATATTCCTTTATTGGGGGTATGGCTGGAGGGTATTCCAGGCCCCCCAGTGTTGCACCCCCCCCCTCCCCGCACATGAAGAGTTTATTTATGAGTACACAAAAGGCAAAATGAAATAAATAAAATGGTCTCATGATGATAATGATGACTGTAGGGAAAGCGCAATTGAATTTTCCTTTATTAGGAGTATGGCTGGGGGGTATACCAGACCCCCAGCATACGAAGAGTTTCTTTATGAGTATACAAATAGTTTCATTGAATTCTCCTTTATTATAGCTGGGGGGGGGGGGTATTCTAGACCCCCCGGTGTTTCATTATCTCTCAAAAACCGTTTACCTCACCACTTTCATTACAGTTTTCGGTAAGACGCCATCGAACGTATCACCGGGGGGGGGGGGGGGTCTGTGAGATATGGAATACCCCCCACTATATAAAGGGTTTATATGAGTCTACAAATGGAGGTACGGCCATACCCTCGGTGTTGCATTCTGCCCCCGAAAACCATCTACGTCATCATCTCTTATTACATTCGAATGGCTGCAATCGATCTTGGTTGCCCTACCAAAAAAGGCTACCAGCGGAAAATGCTTCAGGCTGAACAGCCTATAATGAGCCAGATGTTGAAAGTCTTTCTCAAAGTTCCTCCTATTCCTTTTCGATATTTATTTGGAAACCGAACACTAACCGACAAGGCGGGGACAGGTCCTACAGGACTCAAAACTCTCATCAGCAGGAAATGCAAATACCTGGAGGGCAAGAGCGAAGGCAAGAAACAATCGAAGTCGCAAACGCCATTCAGGATCATTAAAGAAGAAGAAGAAGTTTTGTGATGGAGCAGATCACATCCTGACCCCCATCCATGACTTATACTTAAGACTTTTACAGCTCTCTTGTGGATTAACTGACCTGTTGAGTCTCTCACTTTGGACGATGGAAAGGGTGAAGCTCTAATAGGCGATATGGGGTGTGCATTTCAAAAATATATTTCGCCGAGTGTTGAGGTAGTACTAAAAGTATAGTATCGAAACGGATACATCAATGAATGACCCGTAGGTCGTTGCAACGATTAAATTTACA